AAAAGATTACAAGTCGATTTGAATTCTACGTTTACGATAATAGAGTTAGAATTTCCAATTAATGTTTCCGATGTTTGGCATAGACTTGTATTATCAGACTATCTTTGCCAGATCCATTCTTATAAACAAATAAAGCGAACTCAGTGAAGCTGTTAACGTATTATCCGCGGATATATGAAAGATGGAACTGTCCCAAAAAACTACGTCATTGCGTTACGATTCTCGGAAAAATGTAAAAAAAAAAATTTCGGACAAAAAATCTGCAATTTTTCTTAGTAATAATGACGAAAACTAAATTAAATCGAATGACGCGACATTTATTGTTTTTATTATTATTTGGTTTTGCGTTATAATTTCATTAGTATAATTTTGCATCATTTAGCTTTTATAGTGTGTGTGGCTTTTGCATGCGTTCTGCACTGTCTCTGCACGGAAACTTATCCCCATCCTTTTCTATCCATCCAGTACCTACTGCAAAATGTGTCCTCATAAAATCATCCAAATATATTAGTTACAAAATGAACTGCACATCAATTAATGCCTAGAGTATTTACTCTCAGTTTGAAACAACGTTTAATGTGCGAAATACAAACTAAAAAAAACTTCATGGTACCAACATCTGTTTATCTTCTTCCAAGCGAATTACTTGTAATATTTTTTATACATTCTATACAATGGGTAATAAATACGGTCCAAAATAAAATATTTAACTAGTTTAACAAACTTGGTAGAAAATAAAAAATTTAATATGAATAAATACGTATAACGTTTTGCCAACATTACTTATTTAAATTAATAGTGTTGATACTTATGCCATTTTAAACAAATTCTACAGAACTATGGGATTAGTCATCCTATATTTAATTCTATTTTGTAACCGTAATCTTATCGGTATTTCTTTATGCAATTGGGTAGTTTCCAGGGTAAGAAAATTAAAAATCGATTTGTCCGTCAGTTAAATAATGAAAAAATATTAGACACGTATTTTTTATTTTCTCGTATAAAGTTACAATAGTTAGATAAAATGGAGTTGAAATTTAGGAGTGGGAGGTAGTTACGTCACAACGTGCTACATTTTGTAGCGCGCTGTGACGTCACACGACATTTCAAATCAATATATCGTCGAAAGCATTTAATTTTGTGAGAAAATAAAAAATACGTGTGTAATGTTTTAAAATAATCTACCAGACGGACATTAAAATAAAATTTAGGAAACTACCCTATTCTAGTAGAATTATATCTTTGGTTCTATCAAAGAATGACCTACGATTTATTTCATTGGCATTAGTGAAAATTTTACAATTCATTAATGCTCTAATATTGAAGAAAGGCGTTTAACAATTCAATTTATTCACTTCTACCTATTATCGTTAGTCATACTATCATTTGTACAGCCTAGAAACATACCGATACCTACTTGTGCTTACTTAAGTTGAACAGAGGTCAGCCACATCAACTTACTAATAGATTGCCTACAAGTCTAATATAAACACAAACTAGAACACACTGTTACATTAAGTAAAGACTCTTTGCTAATAAATATTGAAAATAAATTATAGTGCTTTCTTCTGTAATAATTTTCTGTAATAAATGTAAATTATGTAACTCGAATATAATTGTGTTATACATAATATTGTCTTTTTCCTCGAAACAACATGTATCACATGTCTTGTCTATAGACAAATCGCAATAGGGTAGATGCCTAATTTTTATTTTAATGTCCGTCTGGTAAATTATTTAAAAATTTTTTACAGAATCGAATATTTTCGACCTTCGACGATATATTGATTTGAAATGTCGCGTGACGTCACTTCGGTGTACATTTTATACGTAGAAATGACGTTTTAGCTCCCACTCCTAAACTTCGATACGTTTTATCTAAGTATTGTTTTATTATACGACAAAATAAAAAAAAAAACGTCTAATATTTTCTCATTACCTAACTTACGGACTAATTAGATTTTTAATTTTCATACCCTGTCATCATCCCAATTCTCAGAGGACAGAAACTGATTTGTAAGAAAGCTAAACAATATGAATTCATTTCGACTTCTTTTAGTTTAAAATAAGAGGTCTTTTGGGTCAGTTACAACCGTTCTGTTACGATATTGGTACGAATTGCATTGGTTTAACCTTCTCGCGTATTTCGTAAGAGCCGGTTGCCTAAGGGACTACACATTCAGCAGAAATCCAGCCAGCAGCGATCTGATAAACCAGAACGTTTTAAACTGCGATCTTAAACCCCAGTAGAGAATCATTATAATAGACTCATAGCCCAACAGTGCATCATCACGGGCTGGCAAAGCAAATTGATAAACAAAACGTTAATAAATCCATCAACGAAATAATGATACACTTGCCCCAATTTTTCAAATTCCATCCTCGTTCAATAAATCAGTGTATGTACACGTATACTTGTGCTCATTGTTCAGCCGCGGTCAAGTTGCTTCCGTCCGACATAATTTGGTGTGACGATGATAACTGGTTTTATACCATCCTATATTGCGATATAAATATTGCAGTGCAACAAGATAACGTTAAAGTTGTTACGCAATAAAAATATATGAATAAAATAATACAGTTATTGTCAAATTATGTTTTGTAATTATTATGTAATATAGACGTCCTAGCCTTTTAGAGGTCCACATTACGGCACTTAATGCCTCTGTACAATGTAACACGCACTTTTCACTGTTATGATTCCCATGTAATAGGGTGAGCCTATTACCGTATATCGGGCACATTTCCAAACTCCGTTTGCCCGACCCGGGAATCGAACCTCGACTGGCAGTCGCACTTGTGACCACTCGGCCAATGAGGCACTCTTTAATTGTGTGTGTGGTGAATAAATGGATTTGTTATCATCAGTCAGGAGAATTCTCGATCTGTAATTGGCTACGGTGTTTTTCCTAATGAAATAGGCAACTTATAAATCAATGTTTAGACGCATCTAAGTTTGGCGTAGTCCAAGCCTTACCCAGTTGTCTGGGTGTCATCACTGCGAGGACTGCCCTGAGGACACGGTGGAACACACTGTAGCGGAATGCCCTGCGTGGGCTGAGCACTGCCGTGCCCTCAGGGAAGTGATCGGCGAAGGCGACCTCTCTCGTCCGGGACTGGGATGCCGTCTCCTCCTTTTGTGAAGCAGTCGGGCTAGCTAAGGAGGAGGCGGGACGCGTGAAGCAGCGAAGCGCTGCCCCTCGCAACCCAGCCATCGCGAAGGACACACCGGGCGTCGGGGATCGCGGGACGATCTCCGGCCACCGTAAGCGCGGGACTGCGGACGGCGAGCATGGGTGGCTCCCCGTCCGACCAGAAAACGACCCGAGCGTACGGCGCGTCGCGTTCCGCGCGCGCCTCGAAAGAGCCATCAGACCACCACAGATTGGGCCCAATAGGGCCGATGCCGATTCGGAGTCGCGGAGAACCTAACGGGTAACCGGGGCTCCGGCTCGACGTGCAGGAGAAGGAACGGGGTGGTTTTTAGTCAGTAAGAGTCTGACACTCACTCTCGCCTCACTCAGGCGGAATAAGGATCATTAAAAATGTATTCACAGTTTGAACCGCAGTCCATCCCCTGAATACTCGAACATCACTCAAGTTTTTACCTTGCTAAAAAAAGGCCAACGCAACAATAGGTGACAAGTGCTCAGAACCTTATCTCAGGACGTTTAAAAAAAAGTTAAAATTAAAATACTCGATTTGTCACGGGCCCCTTTAGACGCAGTAACTACCTGACTGGTATTGAATGAAAGAGACAGCTAGATATTAAAAAAATAGGGATTTTTGCGTCACCAGAGGCGCTGGTGTCGCATGAAGTCCTATTCGCCGATAGGATGTTTGGTAAAAGTCAGTTTATCTTTGTCAACTAAATTGATAAGACGTAGGAGGATCTAACTGCTCACTAGCGCCAATAGTTGTGGTGAAAATCTGAAACTTTTATTGCAAGTGTGTGTTGTGTGAACTTGTGTGCAAAAGTAATTTGTTTTTTATTCTACACTTATGTGTGTTATTTTATTATTACACCTTTAGATGAAGTCCTGGTTTTACTTGTTTTTTTAACATGTCTTGTCTCTATGGTTTATGCCGTGTATTATTGATAGATTAATTTTAAATGCTGTGTTTTGTGAGATTAATAATAACGGGGTTGACTCGGGTGTTAAAAATATAAATGCAATTTTTATACTATTTAGAGTCGTTCTTGGAGATACATCTATGGCTGTCGTTGTTGATTGTAATATTAATTGTAAAATTAATTACTTGGATGCATGTTCTCATAATTATCTCACTACATATCGGACGATAGAGCGACGAGATATTGTTAAAACATGCAAAGATCACCGTAAGATATGCATAAATGCTATCACGCAAATGTTAATAATGTAATTCAATGACTAATTAAAATAGTGACATGAGCTTACAGTATGATAAACATCAATCCTTCCAGAACAGAGCGCCTTTGGACGATATTTAACCATCGGGTGATCTGTAGCCCTCTATCATCTCCCATAAACCATAAACAAACTAGTGGAAAGTCTTGCCTTATTGTTAAACTGACAACACAGCATTCAAAATACGAAAGCATGTTATAAGAATTTGCAACTACCCGTTGCATGCCCATTGGTCTAAAAAAATTTTTCGAACTATCCCGAAAGTGTCACAAAAAGGCAACATTTTTTACCTGCACTTGACCAGAGAACGCACCCTTAATCTGTAAGGTTCCAATTTTAAATTTTATTCCAATAGCAAGAAAGTTGAAAATCGACAAATTGGATAGATTAGGGTGGTCGGAAATGTATACTTTTTTTAAACTTGGGGCCAGCGTGTCAGAACTGGCCGATTGTTCATAAATTGCATTCCACATTCAAAATTCGGTAGAAGTGGATGTTCATAGTTTTCAAACCGGCCATTATTATTGTTCTTCATAGACAATATTGTTCAAATAAGGAACTGTTTACTTAGGAATTTTTAATTTATTAATTGGTATTATTGTTCTTCAGCTCGCCCGACTCGGGTACTACAAGCTGGCGGCCGCAGTACAGGCGGACACTGAACAGCGCCCGCGGAACGGACTTCATCATCCACATCCTAAGGAGATCAGGTATAATATTTATTTGCTTCTTCTATAAGTTTATTGTTATCTAATGGCTAACTTCACTAACTTATCTGTTTGATTTGCTTGTTACAGATATAATTTTGTCATAACTTTATATAGAACTATTTTCTATTTCTAAATATAAAAACCACCCATAAGTGCTTTAGTCTAGTCATAAGTCTTGGAGTTAGTCTTAACTCGTCGAGTACCGTCATTATAGACACAATTATAGAACAATAGGTTGCGGTCACCGGTGACCGCTTGGTGTTTGACAGTTTAATCAGATTCTTGATCTTTTGGTCTTCACAGTAAATGGGCGAACTGTTTTCTATTTATACAAGCCGAATAGATAATTGGGTATTTTCCTTAATCAAAAATAAAGTATTTCGACAATTCATTAAAAATTAATCACACTTTCATTAATTGATTTTATGACCAACTTAATGTTAGTATTTTTCCAGCATTTTTTTACGTAACAAGTACGTTGTTTGACGCTAAAAAAAACGTGACGTCACAATTCACAATCTCGTACAAAATTCATAGAAAACTGTCGTTTTTGACAGTTCGAAAAAAGTATTGAATTTGACTAAGTAGTTGTCGAATACCATATTTTTAGTGCCCTTATTCATGCTTATCTTTTGTAATTTTTTTTTTAATATCTAAAGGAAGTGGTTATCTTTTTCGCCAACCTCGCTCAATTTAACCAAATCCAATAAAAAAGACTGGCAATTCACTAGGAACTCTATTGGTGTTTAAGTTGTCCATCGACAGCGCTGATTGCTTACGAGCAACAACAGTTCCTTTATTACATAATTATAATTCTTTTATTAACTACGTTTAAAAAACTGACTTCAACCCCCTCTTTTTTAACTCCGTTAATTAATATACTAAAACCTTTTCCTTAGTATAACTCCTAACGAAGCCGCGGAGGACTTAACGGGTTACCGGGGCTCCGGCTCGAAGGGCAAGAGTAGGAACGGGGTGGTTTTTAGTCAGTAAGAGTCTGACACTCCCTCCCGCCTCACGCAGGCAGAAGAAGCCAGGCGATGATTTTCCCGTCTTAAAAAAATATATAACTCCCTAAATGCAAGTCTTATCTAAAAAACGCAGCAAAATCAGTTCAGCCAATTGCGAGATAATCTCGTACAAATTTACATACACTAGCTACTCCCGCGCGGTTTCACTCGCTCTGCTCGGCGCCTATTAATCGTAGCGTGATATTTTATAGCCTATAGCCTTCCTCGATAAATGGGCTATCTAACACAGAAATAATTTTTCAAATCAGACCAGTAGTTTCGGGATTAGCGCGTTCAAACAAACAAACAAAAAACAAACTCTTCAACTTTATAATATAAGTATAGATTCATATATAGAGGTCTAATTGAGAAACTCTTTTTGAAGTTCGTTAAAAATGACGTTAAATCATGAAAGTGTCAACGATTACTTTTGTACAATGTTTTTCTTCGCAATCTATTCGTACTATGATGAGAAAATATCTGTGAAATAGCCTATATCCGGTCCAGTGACCTAAATTCACAGGTCCACTGCTCATAGCTCATAGCTGTCGGTTCCAATAGCCATGTTGACAGCTAGTTAGCCTGTTTTTCTTCATATTATTATTGATTAAACATCAATGTGTACTTTGAATTGGACGTAGTTATGCAGAAACTTTCCAACCCACAAGTACACCCGAAATCGAGATAATATGATCTTAGTACCCTTTATAACTATAACAGCTAAAAGCAAAAAGCCAAAAAGGTTCCAAGATTTAGGACCTAAATCCTTTTTGCTAATCTGACCTAGCTGTTATTAAAGGTAGTATAATCATAATTATCTTGATTTCGGGTGACTTGTGGGTTGAAACGTTTCTGCATAACTATGTCCAATTGTTTTTGTATGTGCACGCATTATTGTTGTTTTAGCCACAAAAATAAAAGTAGGTAATCAAGACTGTCGGTGAAAACAATTCTTAAAGTATATTTTGTCCGTAATTGGAATCCCGAACTTCAAATTAACTTGACAGCTCAGAATTTTTCGGGAACTCAATATTTTCAAGCGATAAATAAATTCAGTACCTATTATTATTATTTTTTTTAACTTTGCCCCACACTAGGATTTTCTTCTGTGTCGTAGGTGCGTTTACAAACATACAATATCACATACACATGACACCCAGACCCAGAACAACAATCTGTGGATCACATAAAGAGTTGTTCGGGAATCGAACCCGCGACACGCTTTGTATGATTTTCGTGTGAATGACGAATTCAATTTATACAATCATTATGACGTCACATGTGATTAAATATGCTCTAATTTTTAATTAAGTATCTATATATTTTATGGTATGTCTTGTAAAGTATTCGTGTATTAAGTCAGAGACAGAGATGACCTCAGAAACAAGGGTTTGATACTATTAATATACATCACTACTAGTAATAATTTGCATCTGTCATGTACGTTTTGTCACACTCAGTTAAATTACAATTTTGTAGTAGTACGATAACATAAATAAAATTGGTATTGTATTGTTGATTGATTTGACATTCCACTTAACACCCGCGGCATCACCCATGTGGGAAATGTCACCTATCTCACTATGACATCTCCTATCTCACATTTATATAAATAAAAATAAATAAAAATGAATTTCCGTTCGTTAGTCTCGCTAAAACTCGAGAACGGCTGAACCGATTTGGCAAATTTTAGTCTTGAAATATTCGTCGAATTTCAGGGAAGGTACTTACTAATATTATAAAGCAGAAGTTTTTTTTTTTTGTTTGTTTGAACGCGCTAATCTCCGATACTACTGGTCCGATTTAAAAAAATCTTTCAGTGTTGGATAGTCCATTTATCGAGGAAGGCTATAGGCTATAAAATATCACGCTACTATTAGGCGCCGAGCAGAGCGAGTGAAACCGCACGGAAATAGCTAGTGTAAGAATAAAATTTTTAGGCGGTACGAAGTTCGCCGGGTCCTCTGGTCATACTATAAAACGTCGTCTCAATGTAAAAGAAACGAAGATACACTTTCATACATTGCATTATCCGCGTTAGTAAATGAATAGTATTAATGTAAAATACGATCTTTAATGATGTTCTCCGAGGCACTTTAGCTCTCATTCACAGCATAGACGAACTCACGACCTATTTCTATTGTGAACAGTTTAAAAGCTCACAGCGAAGCCCTCCAGTTATTTATCGCAGACTCATTAATATTGTTCCTGCAGTCATTTCCTAACTAATTAAGAACAATTATTTGTTTAGTGTCTAGTCTAGGTGCTCGTTGCAAATAACTACGTATGTGTTGTTATGAAAAGACGTAACGGCGGTAGAGTATAACATATTTGTCATTCATCCCGCGATGGATGCAAAAATAAAGAGCCGCCTAGGAGATTAGTCATTTGACTGATATAGGGTAGCAGCCCTATTGTGGCGCTTACTCTTTAAACCAATCTTAATTTCAATCCAATAATATCTCAATAATGATTCAATGTCAACACCCCCAACACCACAATACAACCCTAAATGTAGCTGTTAAAATGTCATTCAAAGTACGGAATATAAAACTAAACTCAACACCATTTAGTTTATTAAATATCCATGCAATACGGTTGGAACGGGTTACCGGGGCTCCGGCTCGACGTGCAGGAGAAGGAACGGGGTGGTTTTTAGTCAGTAAGAGTCTGACAATCCCTCCCTCCTCACCTAGGCGGGAGCAGTCAACCGATGATTTTCCCCCCTTAAAAAAATACGGATGGAATGGAGACTAAAAAATTTGACAATATCAATGTCGATCGATCGGAATTGGATTCAGAAGTAAGCTCCATGATAAACCTTAACCAGGCAGACTGGTGGATGGTGGTTTCATTGGCGGTGGCACGTGCAGTGGATTGCTCGATTCTCTACAATATCGTTAAGTTGAGCAGTGCTGGTGTACATGTCATGTTCATGAACGGTCGCCGTAAACTGGGACTGGTCAGCTCCAGATCGATAATTTATTGTCCTTAAAGTTTTTTCTTTTTCGATCTCTTTAACTAGATTTTGGTGTTACATTGTTCTCGCAATCGAACCAACAAAACTATGTAACTAGAGAATTGTATTGTGAACCTGATTGAAAAAAAAAAGAGTATCCTATGGAGTTTCTTACTCGTTTTTCTCCATAGGAATCTACACCTTGCCTTGGAATGAGCAAATAGTTTCACATACATACATAACATCACGCCTTTTATCCCCGAAGGGGTAGGCAGAGGTGCACATTACGGCACTTAATGCCTCTGTACAATGTAGCACCCACTTTTCACTATTTATGTTACGAGTCCCATGTAATAGGGGGTGAGCCTGTTGCCATATACCGGGCACATTTCCAAACTCCGAGCTGCTACTGAGGTTATTTTTAAAAACCCAGTAATACTTTGCCCGACCCGGGAACCGAACCCGAGACTCCTTGTCCGGCAGTCGCACTTGCGACCACTCGACCAACGAGGCAGTTCACGAGTTTTCGAGGCAAATACTTTCACTTTTAATTTTTTGTTGACATTCAAAAGTGTCTTCCTGGTCTAATTGAAATAAATGATTTTGACTTTGACTTCGAGTGAACTGTTACGTACGTCACTATCAAATGTGCAGTCACTGGAGTCACGTCAATATCTCTTTGTTACAACATTTGCTGAAATAGTAGAGGGGTTACAGGTACGGTACATTTGTCACCGTATTCTACTCTGCAGTCGCCACGACCATTTTTTAATAATGAGTTCCTTAAATAAATCTTGTTTCAAAATCCAGCTGAACTTAGTACATACAAAGCAAAGATTTCTATTTTCTAATTCCTAACACGGCGTACGGACTACGTAGTTACCGACACAACCTAGTTACCAATTACTCGTGATTATAATAGTGAAAGTAGACATTTTGAGATTAGCAATGGCTGACTGCGGATAGGCCATCTTTACTTTGTGTTTTTTTTTTGTCTGGCTTTCTCTATGGGTTTTGGAGAAAGGAGGTTGGATTTATGATAGTGATGATGATTATGATGAAGTGCAATAAACATTTAGGTTGCTACGATGCGCACTATAAATAATTAGAAGTAGTAAATGGGGGTAATTTCCCAATGTGCGTTTGTCTTGTATCGTTCATATTATATACCCAGAATAACATCATAACATCACGCCTTTTATCCCCGAAGATTTACTCGGCCAACGAGGCAGTATACCCAGAATAACAACTAGTATATTACATAAATGGTTATTTACAACAGCCTAGCTTACTAGTTGCAATACAGCCCAGCGCAGCCGCAGCGCCGTCAGTGCGATTAAAAAATAATGACTATTAATATATTAAATATTTGTTTCTTGTTGCAGTAGAAACAAAGCTCCAACAATGGACAGTGACAGCCTGGTGCTATGGCGGCGACCGCTCACCACATTGGAGTACTTCTTCAAAGAATTATTCATATTGATCTCAACAGGATTACAGAGGTATGGAGACTTTGCAATACATTTTACTCTAGTAGTAACATAACATAACATCGCGCCTTTTATCCCCGAAGGGGTAAGCAGAGGTGCACATTATGCCACTGTACAATGTAACACTCACTTTTCACTATTTATGTTATGAGTCCCATGTAATAGGGGGTGAGCCTATTGCCATATACTGGGCACAATTCCAGACTCCGTGCTACTACTAAGAATTACTCTAGTACTACTCTAGTAGTAGTTATTTTTTTAGGACACCCCGCCACAGTCACGCAAAACTGCTGCAACTCCTGTAAGCCAGGATCTACAGTAGATACAACCATGATAACACCGGAACACTGAAGTCTGATAGTAGCAGTAGTTTATTAATTGGGTACTTTCCTTTGTCAAAAATAAATTATTTCGACTGTTCAATACAATCAAATGTAAAAAAATAATCACACTTTCATTAATTGATTTTATGACCCAACTTAACTTTAGTATTTTTCTAGGTAATCCTTATAAATAAATAATATTTATTTTTTTTCATCATGCATCAAACAGCATATTTATTAAATGTGATTAAATGAAACAGAATATTTATTAAGTGTGAAAAAACAAAAATAGTGATACACAATCTCGTACAAAATTCATAGAAAACTTTTGTTTTTGACAGATCACAGGATCTTTTTAAAATGTCTTATAATAAATCATCTAATACTTTTATTTGTATTGTTCCAGGTTATTAACGTACAAACTGTTGGCGTTGACGATATTTGTAGCAATATTAGGAACAGTTGTATCTTATTACGTTAGCGGCCCGCACCAGGCTTATGTTCAGGTAAACTGCAGTTTATTACTACTTAAGTCATCATCATCAACAACAGCTTTTTTTGAGGGGGGAAAATCATCCAATGACTTCTCCCGCCCAGGTGAGATGAGAGGGATTGTCAGGCTCTTACTGACTAAAAACCACCCCGTTCCTACTCCTGCACTTCGAGCTGGAGCCCCGGCAACCCGTTAAGACTTACCTCTTCCGTGGCTCCGTATCGGCATCAGCCCTATTGGGGGCCTCCATCCGTGGCGGTCTGATGGCTCTTTGAGGCCCGCGCTGAACGCGATGCGCTGTACGCTCGGGTCTGGTTCTGGTCTCGCTGTGCTCGCCGTCCGCAGGCCATAGCCTATAAGTGGCCACTGCTGACCAAAGTTCTCTTCTCACACGGAGAAGGTTTGAGCATTCATCACTACGCTTGCTCAATGCGGGTCGGCGATTACAAACTGGATTTTTTTTCTTTTTTTTTTTTAATTTAAAAATCGTTGTGTAGTGTTTCTAGAATTTTCTAGAATTTTCTCCTGTGTCGTGGGTGCGTTTAAAAACATACAAGTTCACGTACACATGACGCCCAGACCCGGAACAACAATCTGTAGATCATACAGAGTTGCCCCGTGTGAATCGAACCTGCGGCAGCCAGCTGTCCAGCCACCGCACCAACCGTGCAGTCGTAGTCGTCTTAGGTTTTCTTCTAGTATAATATCGACTCATTAGATATGTATATTTCTCCTCGGCAATGATAGATAAGACTAAAATCGTTTTTTTTTTTATGAATATAAAATAATATATTAATTTAATTTTTCAGTTGGTAGTAGCGACCCTATCGTGGTGGGGTTGGTGGGTAGTGCTGGGCGTGTGTAGTTCAGTGGGGCTGGGGACAGGTCTGCATACATTCCTGCTGTACCTGGGACCTCACATCGCGAGGGTGACGCTGGCTGCGTACGAGTGCGGGGCCCTCAACTTCCCTGAACCGCCCTATCCTAATGAGTAAGTAGATTTTATACTTTTTTGCAGTCTCTTCTGAAACATAAAATCAGTTTTTTAAACGTTAATACTAAGGACGATGCGGTTAAAACTAGCATATATTTTCAGTTGAAGAAAATGGTATCATTCCTACGAATATGTTAAATTATGCAAAATTTTAGGAATCATAATTTTACTCCGTGTAGCAATGAATCAAATAGTTATAGAATGACTTGACGCCATGGCTCTGTAAAATATGCTATTTACTCGTATTAATATTATCTAGTCAATTTCTTAATAACAAAAAAACAAACAGCCAAAAATGTTTATTTTTGTACCCACAATAATCGAATCTTTTGTAACTGTTTTCTTTTTCTCAATTCCAGCATAATATGTCCAGCCCAGATCGACCCGAACAACGTGGTGTCGATATGGAACATAATGTCGAAGGTCCGCATAGAGTCCATGATGTGGGGTATAGGCACGGCGCTGGGGGAGTTGCCGCCATACTTCATGGCTCGGGCTGCCAGGCTCTCGGGGGGAGGGGTCGCTGAGCTGGCTGCTAATGACGATTCTAGGACTGGGAGGTGAGATATAAATTAAAATTTTTATTATTAATTACTGTCATTAGTATTCAGATTTGAGTTACGTTTCATTCCCGTAAGAATCGCATCTATTTAAATAAAAATGAATTCCTGTTCGTTAGTCTCGCTAAAACTCGAGAACGGCTGAACCGATTTGGTTAATTTTGGACTTGAAACGTTTGTGGAAGTCCAGGGAGGGTTTAAAAGGTGGGAAAAAAGTTATAGACGTTACGAAGTTTGCCGGGTCAGCTAATAAGAAATAATTAAACAATACATTACAATAAATGATTATTAACATAATAATGACAGATATTGCTAAATCGTTTCTATGAAGTTTGGTAAAAATAATGGTCTCTAGTGAGAAAAAATGGCTGTATAGTTTGAGGGGTGAAGGCGACAATGCACTTTTGACTTTTGGCTCGTCTGGTATTACAATTATCCCTATGCTATAAAACAATTTAGTATTATTAGAAGTAAACAGGATTTGTACAATATGCACCTACATATGTTTCAGATTTCGTTTATTTTTAATTTTTACTAAAGGACAGGCATTTTTTAATTTTTACAACCAGATAAACGAATCAAAGATATAAGAAAATCTAAATGTATTTTTTTTCAACTTCCAGGGCGAAAATAATGGTACAAAAGCTAGTCCAGAAAGTTGGTTTCGCTGGTATCCTGGCGTGCGCGTCCGTGCCGAACCCTCTGTTCGACCTGGCCGGCCTGACGTGTGGACACTTCCTCGTCCCATTCTGGACGTTCTTCGGGGCCACGGTGCTGGGCAAAGCGGTCATCAAGATGCATATACAGAAGATGTTTGTTATCATCGCTTTTAATGAAACTTTAGTTGGGTGAGTGACATTTTTATTTATTTTAATATGTATATTATACTGTGAACAAACATGATAACCGATTTTAATAATAATAACAACAAGAAAACCAGCCTAGAGCTGAGTAATCCTCCTCCTCACTCACCCAGCCGCCTCACCCAGGCGGGAGAAGTCATTCGATGATTTTCCTCCCATAAAAAAAAAGCTGAGTAATGGGACGAATACAAATAAACAATAATAATATTTTTTACTTAAATTACTGATAGCAAAACAAACCTTCGAGAATATATAGAAATACATTTGGGACTTTTTAGAGGTGAAATATTATTTTTTGACACATTGTGAAAGTGAAAGTGAAATAGACAAAAATGTTTAAAATTAGACCATTACTAAGTTATGTTATAATTGTCTAGTAATGTAATACGTGTATTAACAACCTCTGTTTTCAATTCCAGCCAAGTCCTTTCCTGGGTAGAAAGGATACCATACATCGGGCCTAAGTTAGAAGCTCCACTACTGGAGTTCCTTCGCAACCAAAAAGCAAGATTACATAAAAACGACTCTGCAGCGCCCATAGAGAATCAAGGCTCAGTTCTATCGAGTCTTCTAGAGAAGTTTGTGTTGGCTATGGTTGTGTACTTCGTTGTGTCTATAGTGAATGCGCTTGCGCAGAACTATAGCAAGCGAGTCGGTAAGAAGAAGGGCAAGAAACGGGAATAGGGACTGCGGACGCCGGGCGACGCGCTCTGTGCTATCGGTATGTTTCATTATTGCCTACTTAAAATATTTTAATTTAGTAGTTGATAGTTACAAAGTAAAATCGAACCTAAGACCTCTAGCTCGGTAGTTACACTAATAACGCACAATTTATTTTATTGCAAATTTTCAAAATTGTTTCTATGAGGTAAATGTTTTGATTTTGATCGCTCTATCAACAAGGCATTCATGATAAAATTACTAAATTAACTCGTCGAGTACCGGTTTTGCAGACACAATTATAGAACAATAGGTTGCGGTCACCGGTGACCGCTTGGTATTTGACAGTTTAAAATGTCTTTTACATCACAAATTAATTTATTATTCTTTCTCTTGCAGCGCGGCGGCGGCCGTCGGACCGCATGCGCCGGCGCCGGTAGTACTGACTCGCGCAGTCACGTCGACACGTCACACTGCCACCTACCGTTCTCATGGCGAACTAGATTGTATACACGTAAATATAAATATTAAAATTAAGGATTATAATAACTATACTGAAAATAAGGCAAGATTTTGTTAAGTAATATTACTTATAACAAGATACCTAATTTCTTAGGTAATATTACTCTCTCTTTCTCAAATAAATCGAATCGAAATTGGTTCATACGTTCAATAGTTAGAATACCACAAACTTTTACGTTGAGAGTTTAAGGCATTGGCTGCCAATAAAAAACTGTTGAAGGCAAATCCTCCGCTAATGTCGGTCACCGGTGACTGCCATGGCGTTTAACGTGTTAAAAATGTATTTTCTACACAATGTAACAAGAATAAAGCCTTTCATGTTTATTGGTTCATAACTCGAAAACGGCTGCACAGATTTTGATGATATTTAATACATTTTCTTCCCAAATAACTAGAAAAATATGTCTAAAAATTACCTTTTTTTAATCAATTCCCTGATTGAAGCGTCACCAAAGAGCGCCATTGTATATGAACGGTAGGTGTTTGCGCAATAACTAGCTAATATAATTATATAGGTTATTATATTATAAGGTGCGTAACTATAGTGTTCTCTCTCTCATACATAAATTGAAGTGTTTTGACCTTACATGCGAATATGCAAACGTTATGTTGATATTGTATCGTTTTTATATAGGTGTTATTAAAGAAACTAATTCGCCAACTAATAGTTGTAATTATGACCGATTTCAATTTATAATCTATAGATAGGTTATTTGCAGACTGCCTCGTTGGCCGAGTGCCAGGCAAGGGGTCTCGGGTTCGATTCCCGGGTCGGGCAAAGTATTACTGGGTTTATAAAAATCTCAGTAGTAACACGGAGTCTGGAAATGTGCCCGGTATATGGCAATAGGCTCACCCCCTATTACATGGGACTCAACATAAATAGTGAAAAGTGCGTGTTACATTGTACAGTGGCATTAAGTGCCGAAATGTACACCTCTGCCTACCCCTTCGGGGATAAAAAGGCGTAATGCTATGTTATGTTATTTGCAGTGTAAAAAGATGAAAATTATTCAGAAAAAGGGCGACCGTATTGACGCAATGAAAAAGCTAGCACTAGGCCCTCATATCGGTTATTGATTTCTGTCGAAATTATTGCAATATCATTATGCCATAAAATAACTTTGAAAGCAAATCTTTCAAAGTCATTTTTATGTGTTTGGAATAAAGCTCTTAATTGATTGAATTACCTGCTAAATATAAGAAGTTTTTTCTATCTCTATCAGTAAAAGAAATACTTCTACAAAGTGATATTAGGTATTTCTTTTTTCCTAAGAAAATGATTTGGTTTTTATTACAAACTAGCTTCTGCCCGCGACTTCGTACGCGCAATCTCGTTTTTTCCCGTTCCCGTTCGTGATACTCGGTAAAAAGTAAAAAAAAAGATTAAAAGTACCCTATGTCCGTCTCCTGGTTCTAAGCTACCTCCCCACCAATTTTCGTCTAAATCGATTTAGCCGTTCTATAGTTATAAATAGTGTAACTAACACGACTTTCTTTTATATATATAGATTTTTCAATAAACGTAATTTTTATAATATGACGTTTGCGTATTCGAATGTAATGTCGGATTTTAGACATGGTTGCTTTTACAATGGGCAGTTTTATTTAGTTTGATTTCGTATGCGGTCAGGCAAAATTGTAGATATTTTATGAGAGTACTCTTTGTAAGTGGGAAAAGGGGGGAGCTAAACAGACCGATAAAGTGACTGTTGACGTTTCGTAAGAGTATATGCCTGTTTTAAAATGACTGAGGGATCTAAGACAGTTATTCATGTCCCTGGGACACCCTGGAACTTCAGTGTCCCGGTGTTTTTTTCATGGTTGTATCTATAGTAGACAGGCAGAAGCTGCAGTGGTCCTGGGAGATCGGGGGTGCTTATCCCAGAAAAAAGATTGATTATGTCTCCGTTAGTGTAATTGACAGATATTTTGATGATATTTTTTTAAAAGTTCACATACACATGACACCCAGACCCGGAACAACATTCTGTGGATCACACAGATTTGTTCCGTGCGAGAATCTAACCTGCGATACGTTGCGCGGCAGCCACTTGCAGTCAATGAATATAAAACATGAAATATTTCAGTTCCATTAGATATCATGTGCAACAGGTTCCATAAGTAAAAATATACTTTGTCATCAAACTCCCCTCTTCTTCATTCAATAGTTTCATTGTACCTCTCAGTAAATAAAGACGATATACACTTATATATATAAATTATAAGTAATAAATAACAGCTATCGCCCGACCAATAGCTCTTGCCTTTACGACAAATGTACATAAGTAGAGTATATAATAATATTATTATATAAAGTGTAACAAAATATATGCGAAACCTTGCAGACGCTAGTCTAGGCTATCTCTTGTGTAATTTTTATGGTAAAGATATTTTCTTACCGACTTCAAAAAAGGTGGAGGTATAATTTTTGAATGATTGTTTTATTAATACATATTAAAACTTACCAATTTGGCAGAAAGATAGAGCGTCTACTCGACTCCTTACTTCTTAAAATTACATAACATTCATACATCTCGATTTGATTCTCTTATTCGTACTAAAACAAAAGTTGTTCAATTTCCTAATTAAAACTAACACATGCATGATCTTTCGTTTATTTTGTTACACTTTATATAAATCTTATAATATTAAATATAGATATAATACCAGCGTGAGTGACTAGTTTAGGTGCTCAAATTAATAGCCCAATACCAAATATTTTGGGCTAAATGACATTTAATTGTAACCGGCGTTCAGCCATCTTTAATAGACAAGAATCAGCAACAAGCATTTGTTTACATAGACAAATTTTAGTAAGACTTTTTAAATTTAGAATGTTGATTTAAAAGTTTTTGATTGGTTCAAGCTTCGTAGTTTTTCAAAAGACAATCTCACTTTATTTTAAAGCTAAAAGGTTAACAGTAAAAGTAATACCAAAATATATATTTATTATAATTTTCATGTGATTATTATTGATTCCAAAAATATATCATTTGGTGCTGTTCCTAATTTAATGTGTTGTCTCCCGTTATTTTATTATTAAAATAAGTTTTATTTTTACCTAGTCCAAGGTAGATATTATGTTTTACGTTTTATTATTTATTTTGCTATATTATTATAAATGGTTTTCGCTTTGTATTTACGCGAGCGGGGTTGAATTTCATTTTGTGTATGCGTTAGATTTTTGTGATAGATTACCTAATGCAATTTCGCGCATTATTTAAGGTGTTAATGTGATCGTAAAGTATCCACATAATGTCAAGTTTGTTAGACTATGAGGACTTTATGCGTTACCAGCGCCATCTAGGGATCGCAAAAATGGAAACGTCAATATTGTAAGTTCTAATATATACTCCCAAATTTTAGATAAATTAATATTAAGATAATACGAATGAAAGACATTTTTGTATCTCGTGTATAAAAATATGATTATAATGTTAAGTAGATAAATGATGTCCAGTATTAAAAGTAAGGATTTGTTTTTATTTATAATAGGAATGAATTCATCGTGTAAGTTTTCAGTGGTCGCATTCCTTCTATGTAGACGTTGCAAAAATGAAAATTTGATATTAACGTTTTGAATTTTAAATTATAGCGCTGTTTATGTAATGCTAATTATTTAATCCTTGTCTTACAACGCAGAGAGGGCAAAAATTCTGAGTAAAAATTAACACTATAAAGCTTTAAGTAGACAACAGCGCCCTCTACGCAAAGAAAAAAATAATTAGCATTTCATAAATCTGTATTTAAAAAAAATGTGGGTAATTTTATGAAATAAAAATAGATGTGTGCAAATCTATCTATTGTCTAATCTCTATTTGTAGTTTTTTGAATTAGGTATATCTAGGTATCAAATTCTGCTGAGTGTTTTTGATGTATTTATTTGTCACAGTTTCACCATTATAGTAGATGTTTGTTTGTGTGTCTCACTGCATACCTATCTTTGTATTAAAATGTTGACCTTTAACTTGGTCAATGTTCATGTTTAATAACCAAACTTGTTCATATAAAAGTGTTCTTTATACATCGGAAAAAAGGTCTATAATGGAGTGGCTGAGAGCGGATACCAGTGTCCTCTCAAAGACTTAGAAGATTGCGCTGATAAAATAAATTATGGAATATCGACAGATATATACTATGTGTCAAAAAAAAAATTATTACTTTCCATCTGTTTTTTGACCTTATTGTCTTACAATTGAGTCTAAACTCCATTAAATATTTGAAGATTAGGGCAGCATAATAGGCCTGACTTGAATATTTGGCTAGAAGGAACAACATTTTTGTTCCAACATAAAAATATTTTTAACTGTTCAGTCTTCAAGCGGTCACCGGTGATCTCGCTCCACTAACTACATTATAGACCTTTTTTCCGATCTTCTGCCCACCTTCTTCCGAAACGCACAAGTTTCACCTTTGAGTAAATTAGGTACATTATACTGGATAGGTAAATTAATTCGCGTTTTTATAGTAATTTAATGAAAATATCCAACCATGGTGCCAAATAACATACGGTTTACTTAAAGCTACATTTTATGTACTTTGATTGGCATTTTCATAGTAATCACATAGTTTTTTAGCAGAATTTGAACCTAAAACTAAACTCTAGTGGCATTCATTTAAAGTTCATTATTTACTATATTTTATATTCTACATTCTGTTCTAAGTATGCTTTATGCTACATTCCACGTTATTCTAGTTTCTTTTTAACTTTTTAAAACAAAATTTGATTTTGTGAACTTCCTGGCTATTCTTCTTTACATAAATTGGCTGCAAACAGGGTAGGCTTCAGGCCGCTTTTCAATTATGTAAAATAACAAAATTATAAAGAAAATTAAATTCTATATAAAAAGTTATTAAACCTCTTTAGTGATACATATCACTGCCATAGACAAATTGCGGTGTTGCAAATGTAAAAAAGTTTTTTTCTATCAGTTATTACCAAACAGGATTGTTTAATAAGTTTGTTATATGTTTTGTCCTAATATTGTATATAAAGAGAATGTATTCGTATATATCGTAGTTTGTACAGTCATGTGGAGTGGTACATTAGTACAAAATATTGCTTATTTTTTTGTAAGTTTGAGGTTTCATACTCACAAAGCAATAAATGAATGTTCACGATTTGATGTTTTATTTCTACATTCCTTTTCTGTTTTGAAATACAAGGTAAACGAGTTTGTGACTGCTTCATTGGTTTAAGTCGTTGTAAGTTGGACTCCAGAGTTGAAGTCTCGGTTCGACTTCAACTACATATTTCCCTCGAAGAAGCGTAATGTTTTTTAAAATAGTTTAAGATTTTAAAATAGGTTCATTCTAGCGCAGGATGTCCAAGGTCGTTGCCACCCTATTCAAGAATCTGAAAATATATGAATACCCACGGGAGATGCGACAATAGAGGGTTAAGAAAATTTCGTTATTTTTTAGCTAGGATCTCTAAGAGATATTAGAAGATTTCCGTGTGGACTACGATAGGACCGGTTTGTTCAAGTTATCCCATCATCGAAAATTAAAAATTAAAACACCAATTTTAATTTGAATATGTATAAGATTTTTAAATTGACAGATTTTGCCTATTTGAACTCACTTGCCTGTCTCCCATGGAGGTAGGCGAGACAATGGAACGCACATTTTTACGATTCAGGAATACATAACATCACGCCTTTTACCCCCGAAGGGGTAGGCAGAGGTGCCCATTATGTCAATACAATGTTACACCCACTTTTCACTATTTATGTTATGAGCCCCATGTAATAG